AGTGTCACCAAATATTATCAGGTCTCTACCTGTAACAGTGTCACCAAATATTATCAGGTCTCTACCTGTAACAGTGTCACCAAATATTATCAGGTCGGTACCGGTAACAGTGTCACCAAATATTATCAGGTCTCTGCCTGTAACAGTGTCACCAAATATAATCAGGTCTCTACCTGTATCAGTGTCACCAAATATTATCAGGTCTCTACCTGTAACAGTGTCACCAAATATCATCATGTCATGTACCTGTATCAGTGTCAACAAATATTATCAGGTCTCTGCCTGTAACAGTGTCACCAAATATTCTCAGGTCTCTACCTGTAACAGTGTCACCTAATATTATCAGGTCTGTACCTGTATCAGTGTCACCAAATATCATCATGTCATGTACCTGTATCAGTGTCACCAAATATCATCATGTCATGTACCTGTATCAGTGTCACCAAATATCATCATGTCATGTACCTGTATCAGTGTCACCAAATATCATCATGTCATGTACCTGTATCAGTGTCACCAAATATCATCATGTCATGTACCTGTATCAGTGTCACCAAATATCATCATGTCATGTACCTGTATCAGTGTCACCAAATATTATCAGGTCGGTACCGGTAACAGTGTCACCAAATATAATCAGGTCTCTACCTGTATCAGTGTCACCAAATATTATCAGGTCTCTACCTGTAACAGTGTCACCAAATATCATCATGTCATGTATCTGTATCAGTGACAACAAATATTCTCAGGTCTCTACCTGTAACAGTGTCACCTAATATTATCAGGTCTCTACCTGTATCAGTGTCACCAAATATCATCATGTCATGTACCTGTATCAGTGTCACCAAATATTATCAGGTCTCTACCTGTAACAGTGTCACCTAATATTATCAGGTCTCTACCTGTAACAGTGTCACCAAAGATTAGCAGGCCCCTACCTGTAATAGTGTCACCTAATATTATCAGGTTTCTAAATGTAACCGTGTCACCAAATATTTTCATGTCTGTACCTGTAACATTGTCACCCAATATCATCATGTCTGTACCTGTAACATTGTCGCCTAATATCATCAGGTCTGTACCTGTAACAGTGTCACCAAATATTATCAGGTCTCTACCTGAAACAGTGTCACCTTATATCATCAGGTCTGTACCTGTAACAGTGCCACCAAATATTATCAGGTCTCTACCTGTAACAGTGTCACCAAATATCATCATGTCATGTACCTGTATCAGTGTCACCAAATATCATCATGTCATGTACCTGTATCAGTGTCACCAAATATTATCAGGTCTCTACCTGAAACAGTGTCACCTTATATCATCAGGTCTGTACCTGTAACAGTGTCACCAAACATCATCCGGTCTGTACCTGTAACAGTGTCTCCCAATATCACAAGGTCTGTGCCTGTATCAGTGTCACCAAATATAATTTTGTGTGTCTACCACTTCGTAGGTAATATTTAAAACACTAGAAAAAGTCTGCAGGACATGAATACCTTTGTCACCATGTGAAATTAGTTTCAGTATTTGATGTTCTATAAATAGTTACAACCAATTTGGTCACGGAACGGGACGAGGCGGACATAGGCAACACTATGTGGCCCCCATTTTATAGCGGGGGCTGAAAATTAACAACTTAAGCTCGTTATTCTTTAAAATGAAAAATAAATACTTCTTATTTTTAGATGAATTGGTAGACGAAAATCACACTTTTTTGAGACTCTATATGTACATGTAATACGTCTATACTATGCTTACCACGATTGTCCGGTTGCATACTGTGGCACAGCCGGCAGTGTTTCTTATCATGTCATTATCAACTTGACGGAATGTGCAACTCTCCACCCTGACCTGATCGGTGAAACAATAATGTTAGGGTTAGCAAAACAATATAATATGGCGTATCATAGTGTCTTAACATGTACCATATCAAATATTTTAACCGTTATGATCACATCCAAACTGATGTCATGGTTTAGCATTTAAAAAATCAGTTTCACAAAACGTCATTGTCTCACTATCTTAAAAAGACAATGTTGTGAAACACATGGAATTATGTCGCCTTTCACATTGACCATATTATCCTTTACAAGCAAGACACCTGACAATAAAATTTGATATCGTCCTGTGTACCTCAACACGTTTTACATAACCGAAAATTAGCATTTTTATTACATCAGAATACATACAATTTTCTGACAGCGTTAAACGGTGCATGCAAATACGTCGCCTTTTACATTGTTTACCCTTGCTTACCCTTGGTCAAATTACATTGCATTCCCAACAATATCTACACAGCTTTCATCAAAATAACTAGAGGCATTTAAACAAGCGCAGGTTACCTTTCTGCGTCTAGATTTTCGTAGATTAGGTTTAGTTTTGAGGTTCAGTTTTCACATGACCTAACTCTAGTGTGGAAGGAAAAGGCGGGACTTGTTTTCAATACCGTGCAATAAATCATTAGGCACGTCTAGATCGGAGAAGATTTAATTACGGCCTGCATTGTGCGGTTTTGATATGCCTTTCAACATGTTAAAAAGCATGAATTCGCATTACTGTATTTAAAACGTTTCTCGGACATTAATCTTCTGGAATTTCGAAGATATCATTTACTCCTCATAAAAACACAAAGGCGAAGTCAGGGTGCATCAAGCATTGTTGAAATGTGATCGTCAGTATTTAAGTTAAATTTGGGCGGAAGGTATGTGACATTCGAACTAGTACAGTAGATTCCCTATAGCCGTATAGCTTTGTCGATATCTGTATGTGCTATATAAAAGAACGATGAGTACATGGTTCATACTTTTATTCGAAAATACAAATACAAATGTATTTTTAGTTTTTTAATTCCTTAATAACAAGAATTCCGAATACAACATGATTCTAAGTTATCAAATAGCACATGAAAATAAAGAACCATAAATATGTACTTCTCTTCTTTAAAGCTTTATACATGTAATGATATACATATTGTCAAACAGAACGGCGGTATACAAACGTATAACATTATTACCGATTTGTACGGCGGCATATCACCTTATTACCTAGGTGTACGGCATCATATCACCTTATTACCGAGGTGTACGTCATCATATCACCTTATTACCGAGGTGTACGGCATCATATCATCTTATTACCGAGGTGTACGGCATCATATCACCTTATTACCAAGGTGTACGGCGGCATATCAGCTTTTATGTCACCTCAGTAATATGATATGATGCCGTACACCTCGGTTATAAGCTGATATGCCGCCAAACTGCATTAATTTCTATAAAAACTGTACTACCTGCATACAACTTAGATCAAATAGGGTGATATTTAGATAACCTTATGTATTGTCAAAATAGATAAATGCGGTTTTCTTACAAAATGGATACCATGTTACATTTAACTATGGTTTTGTTCAGCTTTCATGTCACGCTTTATCGCCCTGATCAACCATAGATGTGACATTAGTTATTAATTATTCTACCACATTTGCAATGCAATGGCACTTTTCATTGGTCAATAACCACGTTTTACTACTGATTGCCTGACATCTCTCTCCCTCTCTCTCTCTCTCTCTCTCTCTCTCTCTCTCTCTCTCTCTCTCTCTCTCTCTCTTTCTCTCTCTCTCTCTGTTTTGTCCTTGTCTTTTTTTCATCCTCTGTCTAATTTTCTTTTTATTAACCTTTCCCTTTTCTGCTTTCCTTATACAAATGCAATGTAAATGTAAACATTGGAAAAATGTATTAAAATGACAATCGAAAATTGTGTGTGTGAAAGTGGAAGCGAGATTAGTGTGTGTGAGATTTTCAGCTATTACTAATGTACTTAGCATTGTATAAAAAAAAATCTGAAAAATAAAACAAATACAAAAAAAACAACCACGTTTTATTGGACGATAGGCCGTGCGCGTGCTTGAATTCATGCACATTCAACGCTCTTCCAAAACCTTCCCCCGCAAATGTAAACCAGCGAATTGTTGGACTGATTCCATTTTTAAATGAAAGTATATTGTATCAGTATTTAATCTATGCATGCATAAAACGGTATTTGAAGATTTTCTCGCGGACAAACCACAATTTTTTATAATGATACTAAAGCTTTACTTTCTACACAAGCAATGTACGTATTAAACGTATTGCAACGTTTCAAGACCAACTGGTCCCTTTGTCGGGCCGTGTGAGCGATTTGTATGTTTTACCTGTACACCGATATGACGAAATTGTATATGCCGAACTAACAACGAAGGTAACTTTGAATAGTATTTGTAAATCTGTCAAATGTTGATTTTATGTGCTGCCGAGCGATGTCGATAGATTGATATATTTAATCGATTGAAATAAACATCTAATATAAAACATGACGTTGGGGTTGATCGTTTATCGTCTGTCGACCAAAAATGCAAATAGCGACTGGATATAAAAACTCCTCCCCAAACATATCCAGGTGCAGAAGAGAAAATAATACAACTGCTCACATGGTCAGAAATAAAAATAACGCGCCGCTATTTTGTTCAATGAAGACTATAGGCATCAAGTGGAAAATGCTAGCGCGCGCAAAAGAACAGCCTAATTTATAGAATTCGATTATCTAGTTCACCCTACTTACTTGTTATACGTAGGTGTATGAACACTGAGGAAGACGAGAGAATACTTTGATTTAATTAGATTAAATCATCATATGTGTGTATGTTATTTTAGAAAATATAACTCAAGATTCAAATAATCAACTCAGCAACAGGCCTTCGTTGATTCGTGAAAAATAAACGTAAGCCGTGTGTGATATGTCTTGAGAGAATTTGCATCATCAAGAAAAAAACGCACGTGTGGATGTCTAAAAGTTTACGCATTCGTCCATATGTACATCGGCTGCAGTGTCCAAACATTATGACATCAGTTGTAACTTCGGCTTGCAAGTGAAATGAAACCAAAGCATAAGGTAACAAACATTCTGGCATGCATAAGAACACCCTAATGGCATCTGCTTGTATTTTATGATGTAATATGTAACCAAGGATTCTAATATTCGAAAAACGGCCCTTGTTATATATAACGCCATAATACATGCACATATGTTGATTTTTTTTAAAGTAAATCTTAGTGACAAATATTCTACTACAATTGTAGAATAATAGTAATCAAATTTAACATAAAGTTACTTGTATAAACTACTCACAGCTACATCTGTATCTGAACAGCTCTCGTCAACATTATCACAGCTACTGCATGGGCCCTGTAATATACACATCACGGGTATTAGACACAAACCAAACAGAAGTCACGTTACCCACGATAGACACGGACCCAGTAATAGACACGTACTCAAAAAGGGGCGTTACCCACGATAGCCACGAAGCCGGCAAAAGACATGTTCTCAAAAAGGGGCGTTACCCACGATTGACATTAACTCGGCAATAGACACGTACTCAAAAATGGACGTTACCCACGATAGCTACGAACCCGGCCATAGACACGTACTCAAAAGGGGCGTTACCCACGATAGACACGAACCCGGCAATAGACATGTTCTCAAAAAGGGGCGTTACCCACGATTGACATTAACTCGGCAATAGACACTTACTCAAAAAGGGGCGTTACCCACGATAGCTACGAACCCGACCATAGACACGTACTCAAAAAGGGGCGTTACCCACGATAGCCACGAACCCGGCAATAGACATGTTCTCAAAAAGGGGCGTTACCCACGATTGGCATTAACTCGGCAATAGACACGTACTCAAAAAGGGGCGTTACCCACGATAGCCACGAACCCGGCCATAGACACGTACTCAAAAAGGGGCGTTACCCACGATAGCTACGAACCCGACCATAGACACGTACTCAAAAAGGTGCGTTACCCACGATAGCCACGAACCCGGCAATAGACATGTTCTCAAAAAGGGGCGTTACCCACGATTGACATTAACTCGGCAATAGACACGTACTCAAAAAGGGGCGTTCACACGATAGCCACGAACCCGGCCATAGACACGTACTCAAAAAGGGGCGTTACCCTCGATTGATATGAACTCGGCAATAGACATGTTCTCAAAAAGGGGCGTTACCCACGATAGCCACGAACCCGGTCATAGACACGTACTCAAAAAGGGGCGTTACCCACGATAGCCACGAACCCGGCCATAGACACGTACTCAAAAAGGGGCGTTACCCACGATAGTCACGAACCCGGCAATAGACACGTACTCAAAAAGAGACGTTACCCACGATAGACAAAAACAGAAATGCAGCAAAGCTGCTCGACACTAGATCTGTAAATGAAAATCACTTACTGACAGTCCAACAACCACGAGGAACAGATTCTGCACACTTGAACTTATGCTTCGAAACTAAATAACATTAACTTTAATGTTCAGAATATTCAGTTCACGCTCAATATCCTCGCATGTTGTACTGAATTGTCAATTAATATCCCTTAAGCACGAGAATGTTCATTTTTAAGTGCATGTTTAAATGTCAACAATTTGGTAATACCGTCATACAGTACATGATGTACGAAAAATATCATTAATACCTGCCTTAATTTTTACACAGATTTCATTTGATAATACACTTTTAAACAAACTAGCAACTTTCTTCTGGGTAAAAACGTCAATCATAACCCCCTTTTAAATAATTATTAAACATAAAATGTTAATATATGGTGGATGATACTTGTCAAAGAAGTCGTTACCTCTCGAGTCTTCTACGGAGACACAATCGCCATATATTCCTAGTTTTATGGTTGTTATAACATTTGTTTTAAACGGGTGAAATACATATGAAGTTCTCAACGTGAAAATCATTAAATTTATAATGATAATATAAATTGCAATGAAATATTGCTTAAACAGATAAGAGCGGGAATTTGCAGCGTACTATTTGACGTCAGGTTTTAATGACGTCACGTTTGACAACAATGCAGAGCGCCATTTTTAATGAGGTTCTTGATGCGATTGTGCCGTGGCTGTTATCATCTGTTAAGATTCCCAAACAAAAATAATATAAATGATGTAGTAATGTAAATACCATAATGTATCTTGCAAAAGTGCAAAAACATAGCCATTTATTTTGCCGTCGCTTCATCTGAGCTTGAAACGAAAATCTTTGCAGTGAAGAGAAAGTACCGTTCTGATTAGACAATACTAAGAGCGATCTCTTTTCTTGTGAAGATATATATAGTTCGTACATCTTGACTGCAGTGAAGATAAAACATTTTCTCAATCGGAAAATTCATGATTTTTCTCTGGTAAATTGTTATACATACGGATATCGTGGGGGTTAACTATTACATTTTTGAAGATAGTATGCGGCCTTAATTTCCCATAAGGCTTTAAGGCATGGGTGAAGCACCGGAAATGGACAAAGTGTTTACAGATCAAACCCATCGGCGCTTTGCGAGAAGACAAGTACTCAACAAAGCATAAATCCGACACGTGCTCGAAAAAGACACGTTACCGAATATGACACATAAATGGCAATATACACAACCTAAAAATAGATACGTACTCAATAACAAACATTTCCCAAAAATAAGCACGTACCAGCTTTGAAATTACTGAACTAAATATAGAATTGAGCTGTGAGAATATCAGTCGTATCATGTCGATTATATTACGATCATTATCAGTGTACGACTAAAGATCACAAACAAGTATTAAGGTTAATTAACAACAAGATCGATTCTCAAATTGATGTATGACCAGAAGCAATATTTACCGTCACTTCCTTATGGATGTTTTCGTTGCATCGATGAGGTAAGAAATTATAAATATCAGATGGTAAAAGAAGTTTATCTAAATGATGGTAAAGTCCATTTTTTGCTGGTATGTCTGCTTGTACAACTCTGACTGCTTCATCCAACATCACAGCTCCCTTAAATATATATAAAAAAGCTCCTTTTAATATAGAATATTACAGCTCCCTAAAATAACAATAAAGAACAGTTTCCTTAAATATAACACATTACAGCTCTTTTAAATGTCAAACATCAAAGTTCCATAAAATGAAATATCACATTCCCTTTATAAAGCGTTATGCATGTTAAATCCTATAGTGAATCGAACAGATAATAATCACATTTACAAAAAATGCATTTGCCAATTCTCAACTTTGCATTACTATCTGTTGTTGCGATTGTCATTAAAACAAACGGGATTGAATTTACAAAAGATACGGTTACTGTTGACTTCAAATTGTAACAGCAAATGACCTGTACGGAAACTAGTGCTGCCTAACCCACGGATGACCTGGATCAAGACATGATTGTTAACTTACGGTGGTGGTGATCTGGATGGAGACATGAGTGTTGATCTACCTCGGTAGCAACCTGGACGGAGTCATGAGTGTTGACTTACCTCGGTAGTAACCTGGTAGGAGATGCGATTGTTGACCTACTTCGGAGGTAACCTGGTAGGATATGTGAGTGTTGACCTACTTCGGTGGTAACCTGGTAGGATATATGAGTGTTGACCTACCTCGGTAGTAACCTGGTAGGATATGTGAGTGTTGACCTACTTCGGTGGTAACATGGTAGGATATGTGAGTGTTGACCTACTTCGGAGGTAACATGGTAGGATATGTGAGTGTTGACCTACTTCGGTGGTAACCTGGTAGGATATATGAGTGTTGACCTACCTCGGTAGTAACCTGGTAGGATATGTGAGTGTTGACATACCTCGGTGGTAACCTGATAGGAGATGTGATTGTTGACCTACTTCGGAGGTAACCTGGTAGGATATATGAGTGTTGACCTACATCGGTGGTAACCTGGACCGAGACATAAGTGTTGACCTACTGTTGACTGGACTGAGACGTTGGTTCGACGTACCACTGTAGTGATCTGGACAGAGACAGGTTTCTTAACAAACCGCGGTGCAGATCTGAACGGAGACATGAGTGTTGACTTGCGTTGATCGTGAACAGGACGGAGGCGTGATTTTTAATTTACCACTTTAGTGATCTGGACGGAAACGTGATTCTTGACTTACCACTGTAGTGATCTGGACGGAGACATGATACTTGACTTACCATTGTAGTGATCTGGACGGAGACGTGATTCTTGACTTACCACTGTAGTGATCTGGACGGAGACGTGAGTATTTGCCTTGGACAGGATTCGCTGTTTATTTATCAGCTCAGCAATCTCTATCTGTATATTACAAATCGTCAAACAGTATTTAGCGTGTTATGCCAGAGGAAAACATAGGTTATTTGGTATACGAGTAATGCTTTTCAAAGCTAGTCAGGTTTCATATTATAATCGTTGATAACTTACAGCTACTACTATACCAAATCTTAACACTATTCAAGAAATTTCTCAAAAAAACGACCATTCTTCTCTGTCAAACAAAACTGCACGAAACACAACATTGCGATATTATTTCATCGCTGAGCATTTTCAACAAGTCACCGCCAAACACGCCTATCTATACAGCATCATGGCATTTGTTGTTGTCTTATTTTGTTTTCTCTCTCCTTTTTTATATTGAGTGAATAGATAAAATTGAATCATTAAAAAATAAACTAATCTGGGCCGTTTGTCTATCCATCCTAAACCCACTGTGAATACCCACTTATAGGCGAATTTATTACGTAAATATAGAATTTGACGGTAAGCAAACAAATCCTGGGGATTTGTTGTTTTTCATATTTTTGAAATCGTATTAGGACATTAATCCATAGCAACTTTTTTTCTACATGACCTTTTCACACCAAATATTTGAAGGTTTTTATATTTACCACGGGATTCGTTCAAATTCTATAAATATTGTTGAAGAAGTAGATCAAGGGGACCCTCGATCCCCTGTTAATGAATCCTTGTAAAAGCAAGTTTTGAGTCAGCTTTAGAATAGAATGAAGATTTACAGATACATTGACAAAAATGTATTTAAAGTTTGAATTCATCAGAAAACGTAAATCTCCTAAATAGTTTTTCCAATTAAACAAGCGTTTTATTTATGTTATTATATGTGATAAAACTATCGTCTATGACATAAGGTGTGTGTTATTTTAATGTAGCAAATATGTACAAATGAACGATAGAACTCAATTGAATAAACACTGAAATATGTTTACCTATTTTACCAAAATAATGTAGGTATTTATAGAAAAACCTACATCAATGGCGTTGTTTCTAGAGCTAAAGTAAAATTGATTAACTTCGATATTAAACTGGATTTGCCGTCAAAATATTTAATGAAAAATAAAAATCGAAAATCTGAGGTTCCTTTTGCTTGTGGTTTTTAAATCTGCTAACCTCCTCCAGGAAAGCGTAAGACATTTTCAACATTTTCATCACATCTTTTGCTTTTTCATTTTTCATGATTCGGCATTGATCACTTAAAATATTCTGAAATGAGCACAAAATTTGGCAGCTTTATAATTATACTTCATGTAAAGGTTTTCTGAAAATTCCAGAACGATTATCCATCTTAAACAAGTCATGTGTAGCATTTGAAACTATACCGATATAGACTATAAAGGATAAAGTATAACTCCTTGCTCTACACAAACCGATTGCTCTGTCTATATATTAACTTGTATATTTGAAACACATTGTATGTGAAGATAAAACATGTAAAAGCACCGAGAAAAACGCGAAATTGTGTATGTCCTAGATAGATATGTAAATTGAAGTACATTGATTCGACTTTAAGAACAAAGATTGTTAGGACCAACATATATACCTTCATCTCTATGAAAATGAGCTGTAATTGACACCTACTATATGAAGATATGCATGCAAAGACATCTGTAAGAATTTAATTAAGGCCATAACAAAATCTTTTATTGTACTATTCATTAAGGCCAGGACAAAATAGAAAAAAGGAAAACTATTGGTTACAGTCGTGCATACCAACCATTTGTAGAAGTAACATTTTAATCTTTAATAGTATACAAGTGAGTGAGAAGTGAGTTACAAAGGTATGACTGACAGCATGTTAATTATTTGTTATCATCAGATAATTACAATGTCCGTACATTTATCATATGTTTATAATATTGTGATGAATCATACTTACCACTCCCTCGAATATGTGATGACGCAACACGATCCTCAATTGGTCTTTTCCCTAAATGTACACGCAATTGATAGGGTAAAGAAAGAAAATGCATTTCAACAAAAATAAATAAACAATGAAAACAGATTACCGCATCCTTACCGCATCCAACCATATCCATAGCAAAACATTATATCGCCGTCAATAATACGTTACTAAATATCACACGTACATTATAAATACAATAAAGTTTTGATTGTATAACTTTTCTGTATTACATGATCTGACATAAATCATTCAACTGACAAAAATGATTTTAATATGATTTAGAATGAGCTTCAACTCTTATTAAGCGAGCTTAGTGTGTCTATTTTAGCAATATTGCGTAACCTAATATAAAATGCAGTATTACAAAGTCGGGTATCAAGTATGAAGTTACCTGGTCTGACATGAAGTAATCTAAAGTGCCAACAGGTAGAACGTCCCAAGCGTTGTTTGAACACACGACCACTGTAATGTTGTCAGCTTCAAACTCCTGCTCCATATCTGCCGCCTTAAGTAAGAAATTAATATTTACATTAAATTAATTATATCATTTTCAGTATTTGTTCGCACATGATGTTTGATTCTTGTTTCTTTTTTAACTTAATTCGTCAGATACTAAAATAGTCACGTTGACCTTGATTTTTATCTTTTAATGGTTAACGATTAGCATGCTTTGCCGTATAACTGTGGAAATGATGCCGGGGTTGCTTTGTCTATGATATTTAATTGTAAAGATTTTGTTTCCGATTCAACGATTCTTTATCTTTGTTTAGACTAAACATACACCTGTCCCTACATGCCTTTTCGGCAATATGAAATCTTTTTACCCTTGTGTTGTGGTAGCAGGAGATTACAGTACTGTATATGATATCATAGCGTTCCAACATCCTAGTATATTTGCATTAATCTAATATACCTTATTCGGTTATGACATTATGAATTGATTTCAAGTATGTACACATTGTACATGTACAATATGTTACTGACAGCTATGAGGAATATCATTCAGATTCATAACATCAATATCATGGACAAGCTTATTTCTTATATCATCATATGAAAAGAAAAATGAAAAAGTGATAGGTATTCTCGCCTTAATTTCAACAACTACAACCTGGGCTTTCAATAGTTCTAGCCCTATACAGAACATAGTGGAGAGGCCTACATTGATTTCTAAACCTTGTATGTAGTTTATTTAATTTAACAGATTTAAAATACATGGGAAGATTTGATGGCAAATAAGAGACTTGAATATTTCCAGCGATTAAGAGACGGCAGGCACCTTACAGTGTTTTCTAAATCATTCCACATATCGAGTGTTGAGAGCAGAAAGGAAGATAAAGTTGTTGACAGTCTAAATGATGGAATAATTGCCGTAGTCGAGTCCATAAAGTTTGTATGGCAAAAGAGGGAAAATAAACTCGGGAGCTATCTGATCATGAATTCGATGCACGAGTGTGAGTTTTTTTCTTTTTCCTCCTATTCAAAAGACTCTCTGAACCGGTTTCAAAATATAATAACTCTAAACATGAATAAGACAGAAGACCTGTAATGATTCTAGTTTCTCTGATTAATAAAACTCTCAGACAGGTTATATAAATGTTTCAGCATCTCTCTCACTGTATTATCCTGCTTAATTATATGTACTATTTATAACTTGTGGACGAGCGAAGGTCTGGGGCGCATCATTATCTATTACAATGCGTGGTTGTTATGCGAGACTTGTGTGCGGGTACTGATGTATTTACTCAATGTATTGCATCCTACTTCCTTAAATGTATCATTTAACCTTATAACACGTCTAAGGCTTAGTTCTGCATATGTCCACCTTTTTGTGTCGGTGTTAATCTGTAATTGTACTATGGTGTTAATTATTTTCATGTCTAAGAATATTGTTGTTTATGTTGTTTATTTGTTTATCTATAACGTTCGAATACAGTAGGTCTTTACTGTCGGCCGCCACCTTTTGAATTATGTATAACTAAATAAACAACATCCGCGAACTTCTAAATGAAAAAGTGAAAACCATAGTACTGACAAGAAGACTTCATGCTACTCCAATGCGCATAATCGAATACGTGATGTTCATTTCAGACACAGAGATGGAATACTTCCCATTCCATAATGATAACGACCAAAGAAACTAGCGTGTGCTTTTCATCAACATGGACTCGAAAACTTGAATTAGTTATTTCCGTCAAAATTCAAAATTTATCTTGGCAATCAAATATCCAATCATCTATGACATTCAAATACCCGACGTTTACATTGGTGTATTCATTTTAACATTTATGACCCCTAACTCTGCCAATCGAGACCAGCAGATTGATGGTGTTCAAACTGTGGAAACGTTTGTCGGGGAATAACAATGTTTTGCCATTCACTACTCTAAAATCCTAGTACATCAAAAACGAGTGACGCATTCTCATATACTCATATTTGTTTGATAATGGTGACAAGCTATAGTATTCAATTATAAATATGGCTTTTTCTTAAATTGAAAGATACATTTCTTAAATTGAAAGATACATGTCTTAAATTGAAAGATAAATTTCTTAAATTGAAAGATGAATAAAGAACATTTTTAGTCATGATAAGTATACAGACTCGGTAGGTAACCAACGATATACACTTGATGTTCATATTGTTCGGGTGGTTCATTCCGCTGTTGGAACTTTGATAGCCACAATTATCTGTTTTGAGTAGTGACATGATTCATTATATACACACTTTATTCAGTTTTAATCTTTAATTAATCATTAAACCTCAGAGATTTGAAATTTATATAATTTCATATACATTCCCTTAGTAGTTTAGACTAGTTTGGATTTCCTGTTTTTTGGCCCCTAGCACAATCGGTGAATCCTAGAAGGACTAAACAGCCGTGTGATGCTGTCTACTTCATTTTTGACATGCTGTAACTTTTACCAAATTTAAAGGCGTTATAACTTGTTTGTGTCTTACGTTTCACCTTACAATTGTATAGTCAGATCAACATACCGCTATCAACATCTGCAGTCTATTGTACCGACCCTCTTCTTTAATTAACGTCATTATCGATTTCTGAAAAAAAGGTTAAGGGTTACAATACAAGAAAACTCTGTCTGCACAAAATTAATGACATTAAATTATGCAGATTTCTATAAATCTATAAATTTCTATATGCTTATTCAGCAAGTTAAAACAGATAAGTTGTCGATTTTGTGAATGCTATATAATCACAAAATGTGATGGCTTTATTCAATGTTCAAATACTCGTACCCCATACTGTGCTACCTTTGCAAACATCACACATTTACATTCTTGTACATGTAATGCAACTTCCGAATGGTGACCGTCATCAATTTTTCGTTGAACGACGCTGAATTTTGGTTGCTTAATTCCAAAGGTTTAACATGCCAAAGGGGAAGTACCGTAATCCCAACCCGCCGCTGTCGTTCGCGAAACCCGACACTACAGACTTTAGTCTAACAATCTTTACCATGACAACCAGGTTTCGATGTTGTTGTAAAGCGTTCATTTTTTGTGTTTTTATCCGTAAGTCAAGCTATTTGCTGACATATTCTTTTTTATATTCCGTCTTTGCATATTGCATAGTTATCTTCTCTTGATAACAGGTATTGATTGTTACGTCACTTGTTTAAGAGAGTAACGTCATCAATTTTTGAGAAAACGACGTGATTTTCTCACACAAACCAATGACGTAACAATCAATACCTGCTCCCAAGAGAAGATAACTCTGCAATACGCAAAGACGGAATAGTCATTTGCAATGCAGTAAAATATTTCGCAGGTAGACAAAACATGCAAAAATGTATTGTTTATGTTGTCAAGATGGAGATTTATACGTCACAGAAACGGATGGGGACATGCATTGTTTAATAGTAATTAAACAGATTTTGCGACGTTTGTTATTCATAAACAAACAATATTGAATAAAAGATATTATATAATAGTTAGATATCGCAATTTTAAGATGGTAAAATAAATGGTTTTCAATATCTCAAAGGGTGTTAAAATGGTTTTCTCCATGGTCGACTTTGGTAGACGTTTTCAACTTTAAAACATAGATACAAGTGGTTGTGGAGAGAAAAAAAAAACGTTGATTATATATCGTTCCAATTTACATAAAATAAATTCTACAGCTACCAGTCTATTATTATTAAATACTTCTTCATATTAATATTCTGTTTCTATGACCAGCTCAATACCAAAGGAAATCAGGTCGCCGCCTTTTTTTCCTCACTTTTCTGTCGTCCTTTATTATCAGACATAAAAGTTTCTATAAGAGAAATGTAAACTTCATAAACTTAACATAGACGTTGAAGTTTATGACCCCCGAGATATCTACAATGATTCATTGATATTTTTGGGAATTAAAAGCCTAAACCCCCGAAACATGAACTTGTAATCTGATAATCTTTCCCACATTTTAAACGACACGACAATGAATCAGCATCTTAAACTGTAACACTATTCCCAATTTCAGTCAAACGTTTATAGCGCCTAGCTCATTACATTTAATTGTACCTTGTTTGCCCCTCAATTTTTATCTTTTTGTTTTACTGTAATTGTCCGATTTACAAACAGAAGCGGCAGGTTCGTTATATATATTTTTATCCAGCTTTTTGTTTTTCATCAGCGATATTACAATTTAGAAATTGTCCATATATCAAAATGTTATTGATCTGCAGAGATGTGATTTCCAGCGATCCCTCATATAACATATAGATTATTCCTGTTGGTCATACAAGTCAAGTAAAGTAAATGTTGTTTATTATAATGTCCTATATCCCAATTGCATGGTACAAGTGTAAAGGAAAACATATAGTTACATAGCAGAAATCAATCATCTTAATGTGAAAATATATAAACATGATACCATAATTTTGTTAAGAACAGTTATAATACGTACTATATTAATAGATTAAAACAAATTATCACAGGTATCATACAAACATTGAGTTGTAACTATTCGTGTCTGTTCTTGATTTGCTATTCATTCTTAATTCTAGGGGGCTACATTTATCAATAGGTTTCTTTTCGGGATGAGCATATAAATGAAAGCTATTATACACACCTTTGAGTTACCTGCTATCATTGGATCGTTCGTGAGCATCTTTGCTACGACGTGAATAATGCCGTTCGCCGCCCTAATGTCCGACTTCACCAGCAGGGCCCGAACAGCCGACCCGTGCAGCTTATAGCGGTACTGAACATCTAGTCTTTTCTAAATGTATATAGAATGTCGCAACATATTTATATACATAAAAGTACGTAATAAATACAAGGCTGGATACCAGTTATTTTAATAACATCTCTATAAACGAGCTATCACAGGCAATGACCTGACACTCCGACACAATCAAAATCCGACCAGTGGTCTAACCTGTCACATTTATAACGTATACTCACAATCCGACCAATGATCTAACCTGTCATATATATAACGTATACTCACAGTCCGACCAATGGTCTAACCTCTCACATTTATAACGTATACTCACAATCCCCCCAATGGTCTAACCTGTCACATTTATAACGTATACTCACAATCCCACCAATGGTCTAACCTCTCACATATATAACGTATAGACCTGACACTCCGACACAATCAAAATCCGACCAGTGGACTAACCTGTCACATTTATAACGTATACTCACAATCCGCCCAATGGTCTAACCTCTCACATATATAACGTATAGACCTGACACTCCGACACAATCAAAATCCGACCAGTGGTCTAACCTGTCACATTTATAACGTATACTCACAATCCGACCAATGATCTAACTTGTCACATTTAAAAAGTATACTCACAATCCCACCAATGGTCTAACCTGTCACATTTATAACGTAAACTCACAATCCGACCAATGATCTAACTTGTCACATATATAACGTATACTCACAATCCCACCAATTATCTAACCTCTCACATATATAACGTATACTCACAATCCCACCAATGGTATGACCTCTCACATATATAACGTATACTCACAATCCGACCAATGGTCTAACCTGTCACATTTATAACGTATACTCACAATCCCACCAATGGTCTAACCTCTCACATATATAACGCATACTCACAATCCGACCAATGATCTAACCTGTCACATATATAACGTATACTCACAATCCGACCAATGATCTAACCTGTCATATATATAACATATACTCACAATCCGACCAATGATCTAACCTGTCACATATATAACGTATACTCACAATCCCACCAATGGCCTAACCTGTCACATTTATAACGTATCCTCACAATCCTACCAATGATCTAACCTATGGTCTAACCTGTCATATATATAACGTATACTCACAATACCACCAATGGTCTAACCTCTCACATTTATAACGTATACTGACAATCCCACCAATGGTCTAACCCGCACCTATATAACGTATACTCACAATCCGACAATTATCTAACCTCTCACATATATAACGCATACTCACAATCCGACCAATGGACTAACCTCTCACATTTATAACGTATTCTCACAATCCCACCAATGGTCTAACTTGTCATATATATAACATATACTAACAATCCGACCAATGATCTAACATGTCACATATATAACATATCCTCACAATCCCACCAATGGACTAACCTCTCACATTTATAACGTATACTGACAATCCCACCAATGGTCTAACTTGTCATATATATAACGTATACTCACAATCCCCCCAATGGTCTAACCCGCACATATATAACGTATACTCACAATCCTACCAATGATCTAACCTCTCACATTTATAACGTATACTCACAATCCCACCAATGATCTAACCTGTCACATATATAAAGTATACTCACAATCCGACCAATGATCTAACCTGTCACATATATAACGCAATCCCACCAATGGTCTAACCTGTCACATATATAACGTATACCCACAATCCCACCAATGGTCTAACCTGTCAAATATATAACGTATACTCACAATCCCACCAATGGTCTAACCCGCACATATATAACGTATACTCACAATGTCACATATATAACGTATACTCACAATCCCACCAATGGCCTAACCTGTCACATTTATAACGTATACTCACAATCCCACCAATGGTCTAACTTGTCATATATATAACGTATACTCACAATCCGACCAATGATCTAACCTGTCACATATATAACGTATACTCACAATCCGACCAATGATCTAACCTGTCACATATATAACGTATACTCACAATCCCACCAATGGTCTAACCTGTCACATATATAACGTATACTCACAATCCGACCAATGGTCTAACCTGTCACATATATAACGTATACTCACAATCCCACCAATGGTCTAACCTGTCACATATATAACGTATACTCACAATCCCACCAATGGTCTAACCTCTCACATATATAACGTATACTCACAATCCCACCAATGGTCTAACCTCTCACATATATAACGTATACTCACAATCCCACCAATGGTCTAACCTCTCACATATATAACGTATACTCACAATCCCACCAATGGTCTAACCTCTCACATATATAACGTATACTCACAATCCCACCAATGGTCTAACCTCTCACATATATAACGTATACTCACAATCCCACCAATGGTCTAACCTCTCACATATATAACGTATACTCACAATCCCACCAATGGTCTAACCTCTCACATATATAACGTATACTCACAATCCCACCAATGGTCTAACCTCTCACATATATAACGTATACTCACAATCCCACCAATGGTCTAACCTCTCACATATATAACGTATACTCACAATCCCACCAATGGTCTAACCTCTCACATATATAACGTATACTCACAATCCCACCAATGGTCTAACCTCTCACATATATAACGTATACTCACAATCCCACCAATGGTCTAACCTCTCACATATATAACGTATACTCACAATCCCACCAATGGTCTAACCTCTCACATATATAACGTATACTCACAATCCCACCAATGGTCTAACCTCTCACATATATAACGTATACTCACAATCCCACCAATGGTCTAACCTCTCACATATATAACGTATACTCACAATCCCACCAATGGTCTAACCTCTCACATATATAACGTATACTCACAATCCCACCAATGGTCTAACCTCTCACATATATAACGTATACTCACAATCCCACCAATGGTCTAACCTCTCACATATATAACGTATACTCACAATCCCACCAATGGTCTAACCTCTCACATATATAACGTATACTCACAATCCCACCAATGGTCTAACCTCTCACATATATAACGTATACTCACAATCCCACCAATGGTCTAACCTCTCACATATATAACGTATACTCACAATCCCACCAATGGTCTAACCTCTCACATATATAACGTATACTCACAATCCCACCAATGGTCTAACCTCTCACATATATAACGTATACTCACAATCCCACCAATGGTCTAACCTCTCACATATATAACGTATACTCACAATCCCACCAATGGTCTAACCTCTCACATATATAACGTATACTCACAATCCCACCAATGGTCTAACCTCTCACATATATAACGTATACTCACAATCCCACCAATGGTCTAACCTCTCACATATATAACGTATACTCACAATCCCACCAATGGTCTAACCTGTCACATATATAACGTATACTCACAATCCGACCAATGGTCTAACCTGTCACATTTATAACGTATACTCACCAGCCGGACCATGATCTGAGCTGGTACCCCCTGAAGTGTGTAGAATACGTCACTGTTCTGCAGATCTTCAATTGTCAGTACCCCAATCACGATATGTTGACGAAGAATTTGGCGGGCAAGATCAGTATTGTTCAGAAAGTCCAAGAACTTGCGACAAAAATGGCAGAAAATTAAACGTTATGATACAAAAAAACAGACTTTTATAATGAAGATTATTTGACTCTGAGCATGCTTTTAACACAACTGTTATCGCTTTTAACCTTGTGTCTTGAAGACAACGTTGTAAATGCCACCGGGAACTTTAATAGTGCTTTACAAACACAAAAAAACGGTGACCAATTCATTATTCTGCCTCAAGAAGACTAAGGAATACTGAAGATAATAATAAAAGTAATGAATGCTAATTCTAAAGAAGTAAATCAAAAGGAATGATTGGTGTTATTTTGTTTTTTGGGGGGTTTATAAACCGAAAAAAACGTACAGCGTAAAAAATGGCAAAACTTATCGTGACCTGAAAGCCACCATAATGTTGTCTCGATAAGACAGGAAGAGGACAGGTAGGGGACAGGTAGGGGACAGGTAAGGGACAGGTAAGGGACAAGTAGGGGACAGGGGACAGGAAGGGGACATGTAGGGGACAGGTAAGGGACAGGTAGGGGACAGGTGGACAGGAAGGGGACAGGTAGGGGACAGGTAATGGACAGGTAGGGGACAGGGGGACAGGAAGGGGACAGGTAGGGGACAGGTAGGGGTTTGAATGAGGACCTGATTCTAGAACAGTAACAAATCTAAGGAAAATAATGAAAGTCTCTATTTTGAAAGACCTAATCTTGGCCACAATATGAAATCAAATTAAGTAAAGCCATATAGAAAGCATATAATTGGGGTATACAATAGAATAGTCATAACATGAAAAAATTGGTGTTGAAATAAATAAGCACAAGTACTAACATTCTGTATCGTTCGAAATCCTGAATCTGTTGGAAGAAAGAGTGTGAAGGGGCCGTGATTTCTCAGCTCGGATGAGTAGACCTTGTCCAGCAACTGTGTTGCTAGCGTCAGCTTGTTCATCAGTGACGGCTCCCCTGCGTTCAGTTCCCTCACTCGCTGTTGGTCACAAAAGGAACAATTCAACGCATTAATGAATGTAGATACCCTGGCCGTTTAAAGTTCAAAAGAAAACCGGAGTGGCAATAAAACTGTAATTTGAACTCAAAATCTAAAAAAAAAAAAAAAAAAGACAAAATACCAATCTGAACAAAACAATTTACACGGATACATTGCAAAAAAGTACAAACATATCAATATCAGGTATCCCTGAGGGAACGTCATGACTCCATCTTCACTGACGACTTCCGTCGTGTAAATAGATTGAACGGAAGTCATATCAAACTCTTAATATCTCAACCGGAATCATTACAACGAAACCACAGCGCGCACCAACAAGCATAATCAAAAAACGAGAAAATATATCAGTAATATTCCCTCGGTTATCAAGCAACCTCTTTTGCAAGAAAAGTATAAATTGTTGCAGACAATGGTTAAGTTGTTTTATTCAGTTGTGCCGCTGCAATCTCATATTTATTACGCAGATGAGTGAGTGTGAATTAGGACCTTGTTGTCAAAAAATACAGAATTTTGTTTGTTTTGATTTGGATTTTACCCTACTAACTAACCCTTAGTAAAAATACACCTGATAACAGTAACCCATTATGACACAAAATCTAGGTCAGCTTGCTCTAGTTTTGTCTATTGTCTGGTCTAGTCTCCCAAAGTGTCAATTACTATTTCGAAATTTACATTAAAATCCATGGTAGACGTCAATTATTTGGACCATTATCACATCAAAACAGGTCAATTAAGACCAGGCGAATTCTCTCATTAACAACAAGTCAATATTCAAATCAATTAATGAATTAAATACAAGTTTTTAGCTTCATAAATGTTTACATTAAAACTAGCAAATACTTTAGGTTTTAGTTATTCTATTAACAAATCTACAATGCAATTTATAACCACGTCACTTACGAGTCAATGTTCCGGCTGATTACCGCGTTCGTCTACTAATAATGAACTAATAACATAAATCAACAACCAAATACACATAGCTAGGTAATTACTTTTTGATGAACTTACGTCAACTTTATTCTAATACCTGATTACTATGACACCAATGACAAACTAATACAAACGTAATGATTGTGACAGCATAATATTTGTATAACCTCAAGGAACTTTACTATCAAAAGTACCAACAAATTATTGACTGTTTCACAAACAAACAACGGTTCTTAAAGAAGCAGATATGAGAACGAGTCTGTAGCTAAATTCTATAACACAGCCACGCAGCCTCTCTTCGTTCATGTGGATTGACAAATGAATTGAACATGTCTTGAAAGTTTTGAAAGTATTTGTTGACATGTACTGCCTAATTGTAGGTAGCTCAGAATATTGCTGTCATTCATTTAATTTGGTTGTGTTTTACGTCATATTAACAGCTATGATCATTTACGGACGTGCCTGGTTTTGGTGGTGGAAGTTCGGATGTGGGCCCATGTGGGCCTCGAACCCGCGACAGAGTGGTGGAGGGCTAGTGGTAGCAGAATGTCAGACGCCTTAACCACTTGGCCACCGCGGCATACATTTAAGACAACGAAGAGGTACGTATACCATGAATAACAAAAAGATTTAGGTCATTATTCATTAACGGATGACAATATCTATAGTTTTAGGTAAAAGCGATACTTACGTCAACAATATTAGCAAAGCATTCAATTCCGTCGCCTCCATAACCGTCTTTGCAAACACATCTATGTAACACAGATAATAGGTGTTAATCAAACTTCTTTCCTAATTATACACAGTAACTTTCTATTAACATAGAACATGTAACATAAGGTATACTGTAAAATCATATATTTTCGTTGGGGTTAAATTTCGTTGTTTTTGTATGGGGATAAGATCGTTTGGATTATATTTCGTGGAATCATTATTTTAAATATCTCCAATTTTTTCCTGGTAAGTACTGTATAAGCATAATATTTCTGTTTTGTACTTCGCTGGTATCATATTTAGCGTACTGTACGTTTCTTTTTATTAGTAATTTCCCATTGATATTTGTAACATACACTGAGGGTCTATTTATTAGTACTTTCCTGTTGATATTTGTAATATACAGTAAGTGTCTTGTTTTGAATACTTGTAACACACATCAAGTTAAGCATGACGGAAACGTGTCATCTAGGCAATCATTCCCATGTGGCCGTATTTGTCAACTTATGGGCAACACGAATATAAAAGTTGCATTTTTTCTTAAATATGTTGTTCTTCGACATGCAGTTGTCTATATGATGATTTCTCATTGGAGATTTATACTGTGCGAAACTCACTTGAACTGTTGTGGGCCTGTCGTCAGACAAGTGGCGTGTTCGTGACAATGACTCGAGTTCAACACACATACATCTATGAGATTACAACCAAAACCGTCTCTGTATCCCTCATAACCTGGTCTGCAACGACACTCGCTCTACAAAACAAAATACACATTTAAGGTGACTCGTAAGCTATGGAAACTTGATTTTTTTCTCTCCATTTTTCAAGTTAGTATCATGATAATCCCTTGATATTTTGGAGCAGTTTTAATTTCTGTGACAATTCATTGGGACATTATCGTGTAACCTTACAAGATATTGAATCGACTCAGTTACATATTGTAAATTAAATGCAAATACGAGACGTGTTCTTTTTTTCAGAATATTTACCAAAAATATCCCGAACCGGGTTTATCGCCTGAGTAGGTAAACAAATAAATATTAAATAAATGTATTCCGGAAAACATTTCTTCAGAGTTTTGAGACTCATTTGCCCGTGATACTGTGGAATTAGCAAACATATTTCCTTGTGATTTTTTTTAGATTTCAAAATCGTCTCTTGATTTTCAGATCAAAATGGAAAATTAACTGCCCTTATATTACAGAATATCTCATTAGCGGCGAAACCGTAAATGGAGTGTATGTAGCAAAAACAAATAAAGATCAATCTTACTGGGCACATATATACTCATATATACATGCAGACAGTCCTTAAGATAGTACATGTAATTTATAGAATCGCGCGCTCTCCATATCTGAATTATATCTCATGTGTAAATCCGCACCAGCTTTGTTTTGTCCCCACATTATTACCACCCTAATGTCATCATCGTTAAAATATGATGTCATAGCGTTCTTGAACTGTAATGTCATCGCGTCATTAAAATCCAAAGGCGTCTCGTTATTAAAATATGATGTCATAGCGTTCTTATTCAAATTCAATTCAAATTAGTTAGTTATATTATCACATGTAAAAAGTTCAAGTATTACAATCTCTAAAATATGTCTACTCACCCACCCTTACACACAGTCTATATTAGAATTACGAGACACTCACTCTGCCCGTATCATTCTAGACTGTAAACGTATTACATATATGTACATACTTATGAATTTTAAACAAATGCCAATATAAAACTATAAAAATAATTGACATTAAAAGACACATTACTGCTTAATTATAGATCAAGTTGCGACGTCGATTAAGAATACTAACACAGGTTTTGGCACAGGACCTCGCCAAGTAAGAGTTGCTTAGAATTACTACTAACTTTTCATCTTTACTCATATTGTAAAAATCACTTGCGATTTTAATAGCCTCCTGCAATAGACCCGATCGGAGATCATCATACAAGTTACATTCTATTAAACTGTAATGTCATCACGTTATTAAACTCATATGTCACCACTTCATCGACACCCCAAGATCATCGCGTCGTTACACATTCATGTCATTGTTTTATCACCACCAAAATGTCAATGCATTGCTACACCCATCAATCTAAGGTCGTCACAATGACAAAACTGGTTCAAAAGTGGTCTGTCCTACCTGGCCCGGTCCAGTATAAACACACAGCGACGAGTTTTGGACGCAGCCACCGTTTTCCGTCTGACATGGATCAATAGGGTCACAGGCATAACCATCTCCTTGGTAACCGCCAATGCACGTGCAGTTGTATGTCATTGGCCCGGTCGATGTACACGTGGCATTGTCATGACAAAGTGGGCTTCTCAAACAGCCGTTAATTGCTGTACGAGAAATTAAACATGGTGATATAGATACTGAATGTAATTATATAGCATTACTTGTATCAATCACTACAGTTGTTACTGGGATCCCCTCACATAAGTCGCTTAGATAAACAACCAATCAGACAGGAGCTTTAATGCCATGACAGCAGAAAACAAAAGGCTTTTGACCTAAAGCCAAATAATCCCATAGTACTCCACAGAAATCAGGATATGTACCTTAATACATTATATGTCTTACATAACATGTCACCGTGTCGAAAATTCATATTTCATATCGGATTGTTCATTAGTAAATTAGCAACAAGTGGTTTGAATAATATTACAACTTATTGGAATTTTTTGATTTTTGATACTTAAACTATACTCAAAGTAATAAATAAACTAATCGACCTATTGAGAAAATATAACTTCTCTGTTAAACTCATTTAACATCCAATTGATAGCATTCAATAGGCAACAGTTATAAATTCTATATCAAAACTTCATATCTGTAGTCTAAACGCTGACCTTGTGCTGGATTGATGAACAGTTGTTCGAATCTCTGAACTTTTACAAACATTTTTAGTTTGAAACAGTTTGCAGAAAGCATTTATTTGCAGCTTGAGGGGTTAATCAGCTCAATTTCCATTGGATTGCGAATATACCAACAGTTGTATGTGCACTTACCTTTGCAGGTATCGTTAGGGGGCGTCTTTTCGTAACCATGGTTGCAGGAACACATGACGTAACCAAAGACATTCGCACATCTTGAGTTCTCATCGCAAGTTAAATTGGAGCATTTCTCAATCCCTGGTGGCGAAAAGACCATAGAATAGTTGAATGAAATATGTTAGGCCAACAGGGACCTGAGCATTTTTTACAGCTATATTTGGACGTAAACTAATGTGTTAAGAGTGATTGTACATGTAGTAGGAGTTTAGATCGACTTTCGGTAAAAATGTCATCCCTTTGATTATAAATACGAGTGTGGAAGGATGATGTCGAAATACTTTCTTGTGTCAAAAAACATATTTGTAGTTGATGTACGAAAAATGCGTAGTATCGTTGGAAAGATGGATATTTTTTTAAAGACTCCTATATCTGCACATTACCTGTATTCTCCTTCCGCGGACACGATCTCCGTTTCCTCAAAAAACACACGCCATTTCCTAGTTTGAAAGTTTTTTTGCAGTCCATTGTTTGCATATTCATGAGGTTGACGACAGCCTGGTGCCGAAACATGTCGTGTTGATTGGCTAGTTATTTTAGGGGGAAATGGCTGCGCGTCCAGCTAATCACACCACGGGTTTCGGCACGACGCTGACGTCAGCCTCATGAATATGCAAAAAGAGGCTATGTGATTGCGAAAAAACTTTTTATCGCTCTATATATGAACTACCATTGGTCACATCGCGGTCCCTCGTACACAGATTCTTGTTATATAGATCATTATATAAGCTAACATTAGTCACATCGCGGTCCCTCGTACAGAACGTTAAACAAAAGTAAACCTAACCCAACCCTTGTACACAGATTTTTGTTACATTGTATATCGCTCTATACATAAGCTAACATTAGTCACATCGCAGCCCCTTATACACAGATTTTTGTTATATTGTTCTTTATATGAACTTACCTTGGTTACATCATAGCCCCTATTACACCGATTTTTGTTATATTGTTTTATATACATATAAAAATGTATACACTTACATTGGTCACATCGCGGCCCCTCGTACCCGGACTCGCAGTCACAACTGCCTGTACCATAGATCCATCCTCCGTCACACGTCCCGTTCACACAGTCACACACTGTCATAACATAATAATACATGCTACTTTAGTCGTACACAACTCTATCGGTCTTGTTTGGATAAAAAATAGATAACCTGCTGAATATTCTTTGCATCCTTCAAAGGTTGAGGCGCGTGAAGGTTCGGTAAAATATTAGACCTGCTACATTATTACAGTATGTATATCTCGCTGCGTGTTTTATAGTGGTGGACGACTGACGGAAAATCGTGTTTGATTACTTCTGGGTGTCTCTGTCGGATACATTAAAGAAACCACAATTGATTTGGCGACCCCGTTGCAATTCTCGGATCACTTTTATTCTCACTAATTCCCTACTCTATCTTCGTATGACCCTAGTTGTTGCGATGACGCTTTAAACCCCGAACAAATGACACGTTTACTTGTTGACTTCAATGGATGCGTTCATACTGACTGTTTAATAAGGGTGAGGTATGATTTTACCGTATGGTCGATACTGCCAACCCTGAGTCACGTTCATTTATCATAGACTTTTCTGTCACATAAATGGTTTTGTCTGCGCGGCTTGCTATATATATGTTCCTTCTGCTACAAGTTTTTGAAGTTGACACATGAATGTGTTCCATCCTGTCTGTTAACCCTTTCCCCACTGTACACCATAATGAACTCATCCATATAAATGTATAGTAGAGTCTACTCAAGTTACCTAGGGGTGAAAGGGTTAATAATATGTCGTTACCCTGAACTCTGATCGTTTAATGTCGATGGACCTATACACTATACAATACAAAACTTAACTGATAATTTCTTCAATTGATTGAGTAACCACCCCTGTTTTATTTGGTAAACATGTTGAATTTCATTGTGTTTAGGATTAAATATTTTGCGACAATTTATTGCACATGTGATAAATATTCTCCCAGAATACACCAATGAATGCCTCGTGTCGTTTTAAATAAAATTCGTGAGAGACACACGGGGACGACCTAACATCACAAATTAACTTTTTTTTCTTCCTAAGGAGGAAATCAACGAAAGGACGATGTGTATGAGGTTTAAGATCTCATCATTTTATGGAGAAAGGAGGAGAAAAACGAAATGGCTCCAATCGGCTAATGTAACTTAAAAACGTACATGTAGATAGTCGATAACAAAATAAATAGCAAGATGAAAATGACACAAGTTAATTGACCCTTTTCGTGTTCATATTGTTGTCCAGTGACAAAGAAAAAACGATTTAATTTTTTAGCAAATTAATACCAAAATGATCACATCGAGCCACAGAACAGGAATCTGAAGAATAGACAGACTGTCTTTAGAGAGTCTGTTTGGAGGGTTGCTAGGTATTCCTAATAGTGCGAGCAACTTAGACTGAATATATATATGCTGAAAACAGTTGTTTTACCTTCCTCACACCTCGATCCGTATAGGGTTTCGTTAGCACATCTTTCACACCCGTAACCTGAGAAATCATCCTGGAAAAACAATAGACGCACCTAAGTCATGGAAGCTTCTTCACCAGGGTGTAATAACCGTTAAATGGTCGTATTTCATTTGTGTCTATAACCGCATGTAAAAAGGTTTATTCAACTAATTTCGTCGGAGGATCCGGTCACTTTTTTTAAGTTTTAATGTTTGATGAATACCACAATAGGAACACTACTAGTTTTTGATTATTAAAATACGTACATAATATTGACAGATGTAATAAGTACGTGATATTGGCCGGTGTGATATAGGTGTAATACGCACGTGATATTGACAGGTGTAATACAATTGTACGTACGTGATATTGACAGATGTAAAAAAAATGTATTAGACTAGGCCAAATTTCGGAAAAAGATATTTTTTTGGGCATGTCTTAGAAGAATTTGGTAACACGACTTTTTGAATAAAGTTTGAGGGTGCTGAATCTGAAAATGGGAGTTACACAGCTGGGTTTTGAGGTTAAAGGGGTCAAAATGTCCCAAAAAAAAAAATATGGCCGCCTAAATTTTCATATTTTTTTATACTCAAAAAGTATACTTGGAATATTTGATGTACATAAATAGTTTCCAAATTATATTGAAACATATACTGTTGTTGGACCTAATATGAGTTAATAAACAGTATCTTGTAATTCTTAATACATTATTGACAGATGTAATATGCACGTGTTATTGACAGGTGTAATATGTACGTGATACTGACAGGTGTAATATGTACGTGATATTGACAGGTGTAATACGTACGTGATATTGACAGGTGTAATATGTATGTGATATCGACAGGTGTAATACGTTCGTTAAATTGACAACTCTAATATGTACGTGATATTGACAGGTGTAATATGTATGTGATATCGACAGGTGTAATACGTACGTTAAATTGACAAATGTAATATGTACGTGATATTGACAGGTGTAAAATGTACGTGATATTGACAGATGTAATATGTACGTGATATTGACAGGTGTAATATGTACGTGATA